GGGCCGGTGCTGACCCTTAGCTCGCAGCCCAGGAGTAGTGGGGTCGGGGCGGGAGCCACGCCGAGGGGTTTGTCAGGATCAGAGAGGAGAAGGCGGTGGCGTCCCTGCTCCGTGCCCTCTGTGTGGCCCAGGCAGGGCTGAGGCTCTGTGCTGCTACGGCCACTGGGCCAGGACGCACCTCTGAGGGCCGGGTGCAGGCCGCATGGTGGGGAGATTCACGGCGTGCGGGGCTCCGGGCCCCGGATCCGAGTCCAAGAGCCCCCCCACCCCCAGCCACTGATGAAACAATCCCGGGCTGGGCCAGCGTCCCAGAGGACATGTAGAGGAACAAGCCACTTTCTCTGGGGCCTGTCCAGGGTGAGCTGGAGGGGAGAGGCGGTGGGAGCAGGGCTGCACCCCCCCCCGCCTCCCCCACGGGCAGTGGGCATGGCTGACGTGCTGATTCTGCTGTGTTCTAGGGTTCGGCCCTTTCGGGGAGCACACTGTGAATGCCAGCTGGATTGCTGTCCAGGTAACCGAGGCTCTGGGGGCCCCCCAAAATACCAGGACCCATGGACAAGCATTTGTGGGTTTTGTGTCTCGATGCTGGAACTCTGCATGGCGGCCGGCGGAGCTGTGCCCATTCTACAGGTGTGGAAACCTGGGCCTGAGCCTCGGGGACGGCTCCTGGAGACCCAGCAGCCGGGCTGCACAGGAGGGGTTCCGAGGAACCCTCCCTTGGACTGGCTTTTACCTAGGAGTTGTTCAAATACAGAGCCACTCCTTACTTCCCACACGCTTCCCCAGTTCCTCCAGGCCTGGCTGTGACCAGGAGGAACCGGAAGGCGCCCTGCTCATGTTGGGCAGGGGCTTTGGTCAGGTGGGGAGACGGGCGGGTCCTTCCCAGCTGTCTGCCAGACCCTCCGCTGTCCTCCTAGCTGGGACTTTAGAAAGGGGACCAGGGAACAAAGGGCAGAGAGAGCGTTGGGGGTTCCTCCTCCTATAAATCAGCCCACAGCCCAGCCCCGATTAATCCTCGCCATCAGCGGCCTGATTTAAAGTGCCCTGCCCGCCCCAGACTCAGGGAGGAGAAGCCGAACTGAACGTCTGGCACTGTAAACACTGCACCCCCTCCCCACCCCCTGCAACCCTGGGAGCAGGATTGGGGAGCTGCGGCCCTGGAGATGGAGCGTGGCCAGACCCGGCGTGCACCCCACTCCCCAGAGCCCCAGACAAAAAGAAGCAGCGTGATCCCCAAGCCTGTGTATGTGGCTTTGTGCAAGTCAGACAGGAGGCTTCACGGGCCGCGTGCACACAAAGCCACCGTCTGCCGTCCGGGGCCCAGGCGCTGCCGTCTGCATCTAAATCAGAGCGAAATCAATGCAGCGATCTTTGGAGATCCGCAGCTCCGTGGGGGCCGCGGGACACGGCTGCTGCTGTCCTCACCCAGACCCGGCTGCCCCTGTCCAACGTGAGAAGGAAGCAGCCCACCCACTGTCTGGAGACATGATGTCAGCACAGAAAGGCATCGGAGGAAGCTGGCCCAGCGGCCACGCCACGCCCGTGACTCCAGCGCCTGCATCTCCAGTGCCAGAAGAGCCAAAAACCAAAACCAGCCAGGCTTTGATCCAGCCGGGCGCTGGTGGCTCTCGCCTGGCATCCTAGCTACTGAGGAGGCTGACATCTGAGGATCCCGGTTCAAAGCCAGCCCGGGCAGAAAAGTTCATGAGACTCTTATCTCCAATAAACCACCAGAAAGTGGTGCTGTGGCTCAAGTGGTAGAGTGCTCGCCTTGAGCTGAAGAGCTGAGGGACAGCGCCCAGGCCCAGAGTTCAAGCCCCAGGACCGACCAAAAAAAAAAAAAAAAACTCTGGATGACCCCTGGTGGCCACCAGCTCTGTCCCCAGAGGCCCTGAGAGACTGGATAGCCTCGGCCCATCCGAAGACTCCTGAGCAGGCATGAATCCCCGTGGCACCACATCCGTGGCCCGGGGCTCGGTGACACCTGGACCACTTGGGTAGGGGACAGAACGCACCTGGCTGAAGCCCACAGCCCCTGCAGGCCTTTGAGGCCTTTCGAGCCCTCAGCCTGGCCTGGGCCTCCATGGAGCTCATCCCCGCATGCAGCGCTGACCAGCTGTGTTCTAGAAGGATAGGTATCTGCCTGCTGCTGGCTCAGCGTTTCTGGAAATCACATCCGCTCCTTACCAGTCAGGGTTGAGCAGAGTCCAAAGGCCGTGCATGTGCAGCTGGGCACCGCAGCAGCACCCGGGCCAGCTGGGGAGATCACATGAGCCCAGGTTCAAGGCCAGCTTAGACAAGTTCATGAGACCCCACCTCAACCAATCCAAGTCAGAGATGTGGCGCTGGGAGATGGCTGTCTCTGTCAGTCCTGGGCCTTGAACTCAAGGCCTGGGCGCTGCCTCTGAGCCTCTTCAGCTCAAGGCGAGCACTCCCCCTCCAGCCACAGCGCCACTTCCGGTTTTCTGGTGGTTCATGGGGGATCAGAGTCTCGTGAGATCCTCAGATCTCAGCTTCCTGAGTGGCTGGGAGGCCAGGTGTGAGCCAACAGCTCCTGGCCTCGACCTCTTTCTAAAGGCAATACACCAGGCCGTGAAGGAGCCAGGCAGGCTGTGCGCCGCCCAGGGCTGAGCATCTGTCTGGTCTGGCCCAGGTATAAGTTGGGCTTGTTTGACCACCAGCCTTTTGTGACGTGTTCTCTGCTCCTGTGCTAGGTGCTCCAGGGGCACCCGGGGTGGTGGTGCGCGTACTGAGGCCCGAGGAGGGGGGGTGCACGTGCCCAGGCCCGGGGTGGGGAGGGAGTGCGCGTGCCCAGGCCCGGGGCGGGGGTGCGGGTGGCCAGGCCTGGGGGGGGGTGCGTGTGCCCAGGCCCAGGGCAGGGGTGGCGTGTGCCCAGGCCCGGCAGGGGGGTGCGGGTGCCCAGGCCCGGCGGGGGGGAAGGTGTGCGTGCTGAGGTCCGAGGAGGGGGGTGCGCATGCCCAGGCCCTGGGGGGAGCGCGTGCCCAGGCCCAGAGGGGGTAAGGGTGCGCATGCCCAGGCCCGGGGGGGGCGGGGTACGCGTGCCCAGGCCCAGCCAGGGCGCCCTGCTCCCCGAGGGGCATGGCGCTCCTCTGGAACCCTGCCGTATCCTGAAGTTGCTCGTGACCCTGTGTGGCCCCACTTCTCCCCAGGAGCTGGAGAAGCTGGGCCTGGGGGACCATGTGGACCTGCACGTGTACGAGATCCCAGTGGAGTACCAGACAGTGCAGCAGCTCATCCCCGCGCTGTGGGAGAAGCACAGTCCCCAGGTGGGCCGGGCATGCGTGTGTGCTGAGCCCGTGTGTGCACACGTGTGCACTGTGCTCGTGAGGCCATGTGCGTGCATGTGTGCTGAGCCCATGTGCATGTGTGTGTGCTGAGCGCAT